CCCACCCCCCCGCCCATCACAGCGACACGACTAACGACACCACGACACGAGGGGACATCTCTCTGGTTTCGCCCGGCTGTGGGCGAAGCGACACACATCACGCACGACAGGCGAATACGGAAACGAGTCATTCGTTCGCTCATCTCTCTACGAGTACGTTACGTGCGTCACACTGGACTGTCTACGATCTGCATGCAAGCATCTGTCTGTCTGTCTGTCTGTACACCACATGATATCACATACGCATAGCGATAAACCCCTCCCCTCTTCTCCCACACATACGACCCCGCCCCGCCCCACCATTGGCCACTGTGATCCGGTGCGACTGACAGATTAGATGGATGCCTTCGCATCGCACCACCGACATGCGCACCAGCCATCGACACACGCAACCACACACAAGCACGACACCGGCTCAAAACACACGCACTCGTGTGCGTGTTCTTTCTCGTCTCGCTGCTTCGCTGACTTTCAAAACACGCCTGCCTTCCAACGACTGCTGAATGGATGGATGGACGGCAAGGCGATCAAAACAACACCACCACATGTAGGTCTGCCACAGAGTGTGGCAGCATTCACTCACTCACACGCAATGCGACACGGGCGATTGGCGAATGCAAGAAGAGACCGCAAGAAGAGACCGAACAGAAAGGGCCAAAAACAAAAAAAAAACCACGACGAGCGACAGACATGGACACACCGCCCTCTCGCCCCTCAGATCTTGTCCTCGGGTGAGGGGACGTCTGATGGCGTTGTGGAGTTGTTCTTGGACTGGTCGGCGACCTTAGTGCTGCTGTTGCTCTGGGTGAACTTAATGTGGGGATTCACTGCGCCGGGCTTGGCCTTGCAGAACATGCCGCCGAAGTGGGGCCAGTACTGCAGAAATGGACACGAGACAGAAAAGGCGTCAACATGACAACAAGTGAGACACGAATGGCGCGTTCGTTGCGTGTGGATGTACCATGAAAGGCACAGTGAGTGCCATGGCGATGACGCACAGGCCGTGGATCTGGAAAGGGACGTTCGCGTCGACGTCCTTCATGTACTTGTAGATGAAACCTGTCAGCACCGCGCCCAGGTTGCCACCCTGGAGGAACAATCAACATGTGCAGACATTCAGCTACGAGAGGTGTGACTGACGCAGCTTCCGAGTCTTCTCCTGCCTTACCGCGCCGACGAGCGCCGAGACGATGCCAAGGTGCTGGGGCATCATGAAGGGCACAATGCCGTAGCTAGTGCCCTCAGACGCCTGCACACACACACACACACACACACAGAGAGAGAGAGAGAGAGCCCGTACGTGTGCATCTGGAATGGCTGTCGGTGAGCTCCCTCCCTCACCTGGACGAATAGAGAGAAGATGACGAGGCATGCCATGGCGGCTCCGAACATGGAGCTGCCCTGCAGGCCGAAGGCGACGAGCATGATGCCCTCGAACAGCAGGCATATGAAGTGAATCCAGAAGCGGCCACGCATCCCGTACTTCTTGAAACAGAAGTCAGACGCAAGCCCGCCCTGCACACCAACGCAAGACACGGCAACACATGACGGCGCGTTCATTACTGCGCTGCGTCAGTGGGGCCACTGACCAGTGATCTGGCGAAGAGGTTCATGAAGCCGAAGGCGCCGGCAGCGAGACCGGCGAGCTCGATGGGGAGTCCGAAGAAGTCGAAGAAGTAGAGCGCCAGCTGGTTGTTCATCTGCAGCTCAGTCCCGAAGCAAGCCGCATACTGGAACACCATCAACACGACACGATAATCCCTCAGAGCCCTGCAACAACGAGAACACACACAGACCAACGACGCAGGCAGGAGAGAATGAATTTAAAGCTACGTCCCTCTCTCCACCCACATCCCTCCCTGCCCCCCTCCCTCCCTCCGTCCTGCCCCTTGGCCACTCACTCGACGTAGTCCCAGAGAGATGTCTTGGCCTTGCCGAGCATGGATGCGTGGAACTTGCCGTGGGGGGTGTCTTGCGAGAAGAACCACACGCACAGCGAAACGATGATGAAGATGACGCCTGGCACGAGCAGCGACACCCTCCACGCCATGTCGCGCGACAAGACAGCCGTGAAGCCCGAAAAGATACCCGCCATCAAGAACTGGGTCACACCACCGCCCAGATTGCCCCATCCGGCAGCTGCATTCACACAGGACGAAACACACAGACAACAAAAGAGTGAGGTGAGCATGTTCTTGTGTGTCTGTGTGTCCGTCCGTCCGTCCGTCTGCCTGCCTGCCTGCCTGTCTGCGTCAAGTACCTGTGGCGTTGGCAGTTCCGACGACATTTGGGGCGAACATGAGGGAGCACCAGAACTGGTTGGTCACGAAGGTGGCTCCAGCACCGCCGATGAAGAAGCGTACGGCGATGAGGCCGGCGCCGTTGTAGATGAAGGCCGCGCACAGTACGGGGATGGCAAAAATGGCCATGTACGCCGACTGCACGACACGCGGGCCGAACTTCTCGAGTAGGAAGCCGGATGCCACCCGCACACCAATCGTCGATGCAACAGAACTGATGGACGACAACAGGGGAGACAGACAACCAGACAACAGACATAAGATGTGCATGGCGCCGATGCTTGTATGGGTGCGGTGCTGCCACAACTCACCAGATGTTTGCGTTCTGGATGACGTCCTTGCACTTGGGGCCGCACAGAACGCACTCCCGGAATCCGGTTTCATCTGGCGGGCCATATTCGTCACAGATACCGATGGATTCTCGCACGGCCGGCATGAGAGGCGCGAATGCAAACCTGAGACAGCCAACACGAGACAGACAGACACACACAAGCAATCACATGCGCACACGTCTCCCTCGAGCAGTGTCTGGTGGGCGCACCATCCGACGAAGGCGAAGAAGAACGAGATGACCGAGAACCAGAATGCACGGGCATGCGGATTGGTCTTCTTGCTCCTCCCAAAGTTCCTGCGAGACACATACACATCCACACAAGACCATCAAGACAGATCTGCAGAGATCAGGCTGCATCTCCTTCCCTGCGTTGCTCACCAGATGCGCAGGACGGTGGCCTTGTCGTTCTCATCGACGGGCCACTCGAACTGGGGCTTGCTCTCCTGGATAGCAGGGGTGGTCATCGTGGCAACGGAAGACGGGAGGCTGAAGGACTGGACGATGGATCAAAAGCTGTCAAAAGGTGGCAAGACGGTTGGGTGTGCCAGAACTGTGAGGAATGCAACGCTGGCGATGTGGCAGCGGAGTAGAACAAGTATGAACGCTAAGTCTGTGGCCAAAAAGCGCCAAAAAGATTCAGCTTATCAGCCCGCTTATTTTCAGCCCAACTTAGGGTGTCCTGAAACCTGGTCAGCTGAGCCCTAAACCCTAAACCCTGGACCCCTCTGCCTTTCCCAGCACACTCTCAACTGATCCCGTCGGAAGGAGCCCCATCGGCAACTCACGCAGCCGCTACTGAGCCACTTCATTCTATGCATAACTAACGCCCTCGATATGCGGCAGCGCAGCATGATGGCAGCTCCACTCATCATCGGGGCCCTTCTCCTCTCCCTTTGCCGCCCTGCTTCATCCGTCGTCACGTCAGTTAATGTGGCTCCTGACGTGGCCGTGCTTCATCCTCTACGTCCATCCGTCCATCCAGTGAGTCTCACATTCACCGTGACGGACCCCCCAGCGCCTCCCCCGGGACCCCCCCCGGCGCCTCCATACACTGGGATCGTCTCATTTGTTGCAGGAGGTGAGTGAGACGGATGGGGGACACAATCAATCGCCACGCACAACTCACCCTCATCCGTGTGTTGAATTCATTCGTCTCATGCAGGCACCGTTGGCTCGCCGGCTGAGTGCGAGTCTGGGCTTCGGGCTGCGCTGGATGATACTTTGACGGCTTCATTTCATTTCTCGGAGGTAGGAATGTATGGCCTTTGTTATCGCACGAATGCATCGGAGCCCTTGACGTGGTTCACCGAGAACAACAAATTCCGAGTGGTCAACGCCCCCTCGGCCATGGATATTGACTGGATTCTCGGTGGGGAAACAACTACCATCCAATTCACCATCCCGAGTACGTGAGTCAACAGAAGACAGGAGGAGGCCAATGGTGACATACCACTCTTGCGCTTGCTCGGTGTCTCTCGTTTGTGTGTGCATGCAGACTATGAAGCTCCGCAACCAGGAGGAGTTGACCAAGTCAGCTTTAGCCAGATTGGCGAAGACTGCAACGCGCATCTAGGCCGAGACGACCTGACGGGGGCCGGTGACAATTTCAATGTGCCCGTCGGTGCAACCGACCGAGCTGACCATCCGGGCCGGTACTATGCTTGCTTCCACGCTGAGGAAACAACGGCAGGAGCTGGAGTTGTCACAGTCCCGCTTGACTATCTCGGTCTGACAGTTGCTGGCGTGACTGCCGTGAGGCCGGCAGTGGTCATGGATGGGGTGCCAACCAGAATCACTCTCGAGGGGGTGGGGCTAGATGAGAACACGGAGATCTCTATCGAGGATGATGGGGCATGTCCTGCATCGGGGGCGGGAGCAAACACAACTCCTCTCAAGCGAGAGGATGTAAGGGCGGTATATAGTGCGACGCTCACGCGAGGGACGAACGCGGAAAAAAATGTCTGCATCAAGGTAAGGCGCATCCAATCAGCCCTCGGCACGCAGGAAGATCCACATTCACTGCAGGCCCTCTCCACCGTCTTTCTGTGTCTCCGTCTGTGTGCAGTCGCCGAGCTCTGGCGACTACTTTCGCGTCCCTCCCGCTGGCCCGCCACACATCACTGTCCGCAGCCTTGTCGACATTGGCCCTAAGGAGGTGCTCGACGGCCAAACGCAGATATTTGAAGTATTGACTCCTGACGTCACCACCCTTCAACCAGGCGACGCAGTAGCTTTCGTCAAGGACTACAGTGTCGTCGGCGACTGCTCGGAGCCCTGGGTCAAGTACTATCGCCTGGATACAAGCCTGCAGACGGGAGCCATCGATCTGTCGGCCATGAACGGCACTGGGACGTATGGAGTGTGCTACAGGACGCAGGTGGGGGGATCGGCTGTGGGTTACAGCGGCAGCGTAAACGATGTGACGGTCACAGAGACGACAGTGCCGCCCTCCATAGTTGGGACAGCCGAGCAAGGCAATGCGGCCACAGTCGAGTTCCCAGACCTCTCACTGGTTGAGACATGCACGAACACGGCGAGGCACATACATGTCATTTATCACACTTCCCTCTTTTTCAGTATACTCGCGTTGGGATCGTGCCCCCGGCGACTACCTCCTTCGCCGACCCGTGCCCGACCATCACGACATACGTCAATCTGGACAACTTACTTGGGACGCTGGGCACCCCGTGCGCCCCCAACTGCCGGGAGAGATTCACAATGCGGTGGGCTGGCGAGGGGTTCCGGTTCTGCGCGTTCACCGATCCCGGCACCGCCCCTGCCCCTGCCGCCCCTGATGCATCAAAGGCGTCTCTTCTTTTCGGCAACATCACTGTGGATGGACTCGAAAGCATCAGCCCCACGCTCATTGATCCAGGGACTGACACTCTCAGTGTCACCGCTACTGGGTCGACCCAAATCCGAATCACCAACCATACGGACTGTACCGACGGTCCACCGCCACCCGCAGATACACCTGTCGACGATGAGACAGCCTTTCCAATATCGACGACTTCACTTGTCGATTCGTTTTATCGCGTGTGTGCACGCATCACAGGGGGCACTTATCAAGATACTGGCATAAGAATACTGACCTACGCAGCGCTGCCGACTGGCCTCACCTCCATCCCCACCAACTACATGATGGGAGTGGCGAGTGATCCAAGCGATCCTCCCCCTTCCCCTTCCCCTGCCCCTGCCCCTGTGACTCTCGGCAGCGTCTACAGACAACAGATGGACGGTGCCAATTATTACGTGATTGCTCCATCTCACCTGGTTCGTTGGTCACGAGAATTTTCTTTTGTCTCTCCCTGGTATCGTCATGGCTGCCTATTTATCGCATGCAGAAGGAGCGGTTTATTGCTGTCCGGAGAAATGGCGGTAACAGCGATTGGTGGGAGCTCTCAATCTTGAAGCCTCAGTCGTGGCCAGTGTACGTTGGCGGCACTGCTGTGACGAATCCCAGCCAGGTTGGAGACGGAGCAGGTTTCGGCAGGACCCATACTTCTGTCGCGGTTGGTCATTCGTTGGTCTACTCATTTGTCAATGCAGGAGGGGCTGGTCAAAGACCAACTTGCGGAGCCTCGTTTTCGTGGTGGGTCCTTCCCAGCGGTCCTCGACGACTCATACTATCGCGGCCCAACGAGCGGCTGTGGCGGCCTCGCTACGATGTGAGACAGAACAAAGGAATGCTGCACGTGCACCGTCTCTCTGTCTCTCGCTTTGCAGGATATGTAAAATCCGTCATCTTCACATGTCGGTCGACGGCATTTTGTATGCACTCGACGAGCATCGCGCGCTGCGATTTGCAGACCACCCCGTCACGTGAGCGAGAACGACACAAGGCGACTGCTAGCCAACCGGCGAGATCACCCCTCTTGTGTCGATGCCTGTGTGTGCAGTGAGCATGGAAGTCGCGGTTTTGAGTACGGGAACGCCACACAGACATTCGGCGACATAGATGCAGCGGGATCGACTAAAGCAACGCTCAACGCTCCCAGGTGAGACACGGAAGAAGGGAGGGGTGAACACAAAAATCAATCCTCCCTCTCCCTCTCTCTGTCTCTGTGTGTGTCTCTGTGTGCGCGTGTGTGTGTACGTGTGTGGCTTCCCTTTCTTCCACTAGGGGCATGTCCGCCTCCTCCACCCATGTATTTGTCGCCGACACCAACAATCACCGTGTTGTGGTCAGCCAACCGACGTGCACACAGCATGTGAAATGAATGTACCCATGGACGCTTGCACAAATGCAGGTTTTGCGGGCGAGCAATCTGACTTATGTCACCCAATATGGCTCCACGGGCCGCGCGCTCGCGACGGATTATGGCTTTGAGGAGCCCTGGGACACTCAATACATAAATGCACCGGAGCCCTGCCTCTACGTCACCGACAGGGAAAACGCACGCATTATGGAGTTCAAAGTCAAGAACCTGTCTCCCGACGGCCGCGGGGAGATCATCACATGGCGACACATGACTGACACGGACTGCCCCGACGCCCTAGGGGGACCAGCCAACAGCAGGACGACAGACATCTATGAACTGCCAGTGTCACCACCACCAGGCGGTGTGGACTCGTACGTGACGGTGGACCAGTGCAAGAGCGCCTGCCACCACAACCCTCTGTGCGACTGCTTTTCGTACACCAAAACCGTCACGTGCCCCGGCGGGACGCCATGCGCCGACTATTACAAGGGCACTTGCATGCTCAAACAGGGATGCTGGTATGTGTGAGGGCAGAGACAGTCAAACGCATGATATGTGTTTTGCTGGCTCTGTGTGTGTGCGTGTGTGTAGGGACACCGACAACGACTGTCCGAACCAAGGCACAGTCACCGGTATCGACATGTATTTTATTGAGCGGCCGGGCTCCCTGGCTTATGAGGGCCAAAAAAACGTCGGGAATCGTCCCCTGCAGTTGGCCTGGTCCTACCCTTACCTGTTCGTCCTGAAAAACAACCGGGAAATCCGTGTGATGGATGTGAGCAATGGGCTTGGGCCTTCGACTGTCAGCGTTTTAGTCACAGTCCCTGGCGGTGGTATGCAAAGCACTTACCCACTTCGTCTGTCATTGCATTGTATGCGTGTTTTTGCCTGTCACACAACTCCGTCATTTGTAGGGTTCGGCACCAACCTCTACGGCTTTTTCGTCCACGGGCCCTATCTCGTCCTTTCCTGTACCCAGGGTGGCAACGAGTACATCATGACCATCCCCTTCACACACACCATCACACCGGATACTGTGTCTTTCGCTTTCGGCGGCAACCTGGATTCCGACAAGGATGTTGCTGGCGTGGTGAGAGTCGTCGAGGGCAGAGACGCCACGCTCACCCTGTCCAGTGTAGAGGGCCTCGAGGTCTTCCCCAGGAGCGGCCAAAATATGAACTATGTGACGCTGAGGGGCAAGCTCAACTTCGTCAACGCTGCACTTGACTCGGTAAGCGAGACGGCACATCACACATATCTGAATGTGTCTCTCATCATGTGTGGTCTGGCGGGAATGCAGGTGAGGGTCGAAAATTTCAAGGAGGACCGATATGTCATCGAGGCGTCCATCACATCCGACGACGGCGTGCTGCCGGGGGCATATGCATCCGCGCGAACAACTATCGCCGTCGGCACGAAACGGCTCCTCGGGACGGCTGACTGCCCCATCCACGACAGCCTCGTCTGTGGCGGCCGCGGCGAGTGCCATCCCGTGACACAAACGTGCGTGTGCGCCCACCCCTACACGGGCGGCAACTGCAGCGAGACACAATGCGTGCCGACATGCCAGAACGGCGGCATATGCGACCTGAACACGGGCACATGTACCTGCACTGGGAGCTTCAGCGGCGCTGCTTGCGAGGAGCTGGCCTGCCCCGTCGCCCCCGTCTCCGGCCTCGTTTGCAATGGCGCCGGCACGTGCAACACGACCACCGGCGTGTGCATGTGCGAGTACCCCCACTTCGGCGAGATGTGTCAGTACACGTCCTGCCCCACGGCTGAAGTGATGGCATACGGCATCGCAGCGACCGAGTGCGCCCTCCACGGCCGCTGCGACATCAGAAACGACACGATTGCCGAGTGTGTGTGCGACGTCGGCTGGTACGGCAGCGGCTGCAACCACGCCATGTGCGTACACGGCAGGAGACAACAGTTCCAGATGGAAACTGGGGTGATCCCGGTACGAGGGGGTAGCATCGAGGCGGGGACGGTCGATGCCTTCGAGTGTGGCTTGGCCCGGGCTTCACGATGCGACCCCCTGACGGGCGAGTGCTTGTGCTCTGACCTACCACCGGGTGGCAGCGGCAGCCGTGCTTGCACATATCACGAGTGCACTAGTGTGGGGGCTGACTTTGCGGGTCAGGAAACTGGGACGGATTGCGGGTGGAGCAACACGGATGGCGGGAGCTACTGCGACTTCACCAGTGGGCGGTGTATGTGCCAGCCGGAGGTGTCCATCAATGGCGGGGGCTTTGGGTGGAACTGCTCACAGACGTAGTTGACTTTGGTGTTAGCTAGTCCTTTTCATGTGTGCCGTGTGACGGTGTCTCTCGGTGTCGTGTTGTGTGTCTTCTGCGACTTGTGCGGTAGTACTGGGGCTTTATTAGGTAGGTCTTTTGTGGGTGTGGGTGTGATCTGTGACCGACTCTCACATGTGTCTCGTGTACATTTTCTTTCAACGGCCTGGCCAATCCACTGTGGCACCCTGGTCTCTCACGCTCGCATGATATAAAGAGCAAAAAGGCTCACACCAAGACCCCGACACAAAAGACCCCTACTCCATCCATCCGATACTTCGTTTTCAGTCAACACTGGTTCGCCCCTTGCTGCCCGATCTGTGGCTGTGAGTTGCCGTTGCTCGTCTCGTGTATGGTGTCGAGCAATGGGGCACTTATCCTCTTCCTGAGATGCTCATTCTCCACCTCCAGCTTGTTGTTCTCCACCCTGAGCTCCTCCAGCACCTCCTTGAGTGCGTGCAGCTTCTCCTTGCCGAACTCATCCTGCATTATCGCTATGCCGTGTACCTGCACACGCACACACACACGCACACAGGCAGACAGCCATCGACACGTGCTGTGTATGTGTGTGCAGTGGCGAGCTGTGCTTACGATGCGGACAATCCTCCACATCCGAACGACGGCAATCAGCGACCCTGATACACAGACAGCAAAGCAGAGAACCATTGGCCCTCCTGGCTGATGTGTGTATGTGCTATGCTGCCCCCCACCTACCCGCTGAGGGGAAGTATAGTTCTAAGGCGAGAGATGTTGGGGCCACCAGAAGATCCGTGACGTAGCCCAAGTGATAGAAGAAACGCCACCCAAACGCCACCAAATGCAGCAACACATCCAAATCTGAGGGAGAACAGAGCACGTGTGACTGCAGCACACTGTGCGCGTGTATGTGTGTGTTCATCCAAGCCTTACTGAAGATGCACAAAATGGTTAGCCCGATGATGTGGAGCGTGTGCTGATGATCGAACACCCACACACACCATTCACAGATCCATCCATCCATCCATCCACACGGCGTCTTCTCACTTCCCACCTCTATCGTCTCATAGGTGCTGTGTCCCTCCCCATGTCCCTTCTCTCCGCCGTGTGCCAGCCCCTCCTTCTTGAAGGCGCACGCCCCCTCTCCCCCGAATACCCCCTCCAGCGCCAACAGCTCCAGCAGCACCACGATCACATCTATGCCCAGAACCGCGAGCATAAAGAAGATGTACACCCTACACACAGACCAGACGAACAAACCAGGACAATCGATGAAAGACCAACAAGAATGAGTGACCGGATGTTCGGCCCTTCACGAGCCACGCTCCTCACCTGGAGTCGAGAATGAGGGCCAGGCGTCCCCTCCAGTTGTTCTTCACACCATAACTGCACCAAAGTCGAGAGCAGCCACAACCAGACCAGGGCTCATGCAATCTCCCTTCCAGACGAGCGAGCAACGGCACTACCTACGTGCCAATGAGGTCGTGTGTGAAGCGCCGCTTGATTTGGAATGGCGGTGGCGGAGGCTCCGTTACCTCCTCAGCCAGGGCCTGAGAGGGGGAGGGGGCGGGCACAGTGCCGGTCTGTAGCGCGTCAAGGGCGGCAATACGCAGCGATATCTGGGAGATGGCCGAGTCCACGCGGATCTGCAGCTCTGACCTGTGAGTCAGTCAGCAGACACACACAGAGCCTGAATCGATGAATGACTTGAACGAATGAGGGTGGACCTGGCGGAGTCGGCTCGCTGCGTCGCGTCTGCGGCATCTCTGTCAGTTGAGTAAGTGGGCGACTGTGCGCTCATCTTTCTCGTGGGCCTGAGAGGGAAGGACAGACACAGGCGATGAGTGAATCTGCGGATCTCTCATGTAACCTGTCGAGTAATGGCTTCTGAAGATCCCCAGATGGCATATAGAAAGCCCAAGCTTCCTCCTCCTCACCCCTTGCGAGTTCACAAATGGCGAGCTGAAAAACAAACTTTCAAATCTGGCTGACGAAAGACAGGTGCAATGCAGGCTCTCGACGAGCGTAACGCGACGAGAGCTTACGTCAAATGGATAGATGAGCAGCGCGAGGCGGCGGTGCGCGCAGACAGCGCCCTTGCTTCTCTGATCACGGCCGAGGAGCGGCTCACCTCGAGCTTCACCCGCTCGCAGAAAGCCACTTCGTCATGCACGGCCATCGACCTCAAGTGCCGCACTCAGCTGGACGGATGGACCAACCTGCTGCTCGACAGCGTGCACCAGTGGGTGGCGGAGAAGGGCTATCACGACAATCTGAAGCTCTGCTACACGGAGCTGCAGAAGGCCACACAGCCGCCCATTCCCCAGCGGCTGTCGGACGAGAGGCGCAAGTGTGTGGAGTTCGGCCAGAGGGTGGTCAAGGACATTGTGGCGGCCAGGCGGGCAGTGCAGTCGGCAAGGTCACGATATGAGGGGGCCATCAGGGCGGCGGAGAGCGCCGCGATGGCGCGGGATAGGGCGAACGAGCAGGAAGAGACCGGCCCTGAGGGCCCCTCTCAGAGTGAGGATAGTGTTCGTTCATTCGTTCATTCATTCGCTGTGATGAATGGACGTCATCCATCCATTTGTTTGTTTGTTTGTTTGTGTGTGTTGTGTGTCTGACAGATCTAGTGAAGCTGATAGCGAGGGCGGACAGCAGCTTCAAGGCCTACATCATGGCCAAGAGGGAATTCCACAGGGCAGTTGAAGTGCTCGCCAGGGCAGAAAACGACTTCCAGGTAGATAGGATCGATCCCATTTTGCCAATGAATGGATGAATGAATGAATGCACCGATTTATGGCGGTTGATTGGCTGCAGGTGCAGATGGTGAACTTCCACCGGGAGTTTGGGGAGTTCTTCGTGCAGAGCATCCTCAAGGGCGTCAAGAGCCAGATACAGCTCTGCCTCCAGCACCAGAAAGTCATGCTCAAGGAAACCATGGAAAGGCACCAGTGAGAAACTATCAGCAACACACACACACGCACACGCACACACACACACACACACTGCTCGACACACATGTGCCTCCATGTGTGCTATGTGTGTGTGTCAGGGAGTCGTTTGCGGCCCTGTCATCGGCCGAGCGGGTGGAGCAGAGCCGCCAATTGACAGAGAGCCCCGACACATCCAAGCCGACAGGCGGCAGGAAGGACGACGCCGACGGCGACCGGCCGCTGCCATCATCAGGCTCGGCATGCCTGTCGGTGCCCGTGAGCGACCCCAGTTCAGGAGGGTCGTCGCCATACGGCCCCTCCATCCTGCCGTCACAATTGCTGCCCCCGCCGCCAGCAGGGGTGTCCCCCAGCCCATCTGCTGTGATGCTGGCTGTGCCGCCCCCTCCCCCGCCACCCGACGGCAGTGTGGCCAGCAGCACCACAGACGAGGACTTCTTCGCTGTGGAACCTATCAGGTGCGCAGAGGGAGAGAGGGAGATCTTGAGATGGGTTGAGAAGATGTCACTTGTGTGTCTGTGTATGCATGGTGTGTCTCCTGCAGTTATGGGTCTGACGTGGGTCGGTCGCGGTCGCCCACGAGCACGTCAGAGAGGAGAAAGGCCATCGAGGTGAGTAAGCGAGCGCTAACCCTTTTGTGTGGTCATCTGTCTGTTGTTGGTGTTTGTCTGATATTTAGATGACGTATGAGATCCGCATCAGCCACCTCGGAGACCGACGGAAGATACTCAAAAAAGTCCGTAACGCACCGCACCCACAGAGAGACAGACAGACAGACCATTCGTGTACATGTGTGAATGGCAACGTCTTCAGGTGGCCGAGGCGCTCCGCCCCCTCGTGGAGGGCCTGCAGTCCTACAGCCGGCAGATCGGCTCCACCGCCTTCCCGGACACGCTGCTGGGCGGTGCTGGGAGGGTAGGCATGCGGGCCCTCAACGACGCCATACCCATGCTGTCGGCCTGCTTCTCGCAAGCCAAGGAGGCCATCGCCACTAAGGTGAGATGGCGGAGGGGAGGGGACAAGCAAACGCCAACGCCCTCCACTGAGTGCTTTGGTACTGTGCAGATGAGCCAGGAAATGGACAAGATCATCGAGGTGGGTGAGGGGTCGAGAGAATTCTCATGGTGCTCCCATTTGATTGATGTCCTTGCCGTGTGATGTCTGTGTGCATGTCTGTCTGTGCAGGAGCAGCGCGACGACCGCAATCGCATCATGGCCGACTTCAGGACGCTCTCACAGACCCTCAACCAGACCATACAACACGCCAGAAACATCAAGGTATCCGCTCAGCCATCAACTTATCCATCCATCCATCCATCAAGCAACACTCTACCCCTTCCCTCCCTGCAGACGATCCGCGCGGACCGACGCCGTCTGTCCAGCGGCCCCACCGAGCCCTGCTCCACCACCGCCCGCAGCGGCAGCGACGGCAGCTCCCCTTCAATTATGTCGGCTGGGGGGGGTGGGGGCCCAAACAGCCCCTCACTCTCACCTGACGCGCAACAATTGCACCAACAGCAGCAGCAGCAGCAGGGCGTTGGCGAGCTGTCCGAGAGCGATGTGCTCATGCAGGTGTGTTTTGGGGGTTGGAGGGGAGGGGGGGGGGGGGGGGG